TTGGGAATCCAGATGTGCAGCAGGCTGATATTGCACGGACAACCTAGCAGCTCTTGCAGATAAACCTGGGCATGTAAAAATCCTGACATTTCACTCCTATCTTAGATACTCCCCAGTATTTCCTGGCATATCAAGAGAGGTTTGGTGTGGTAACTGTGGAGGAGGGGTGAGCAGAAGATGGTGATAATATGGGCTTCAGCTTTTGGTGTCGGGAGAACATTCACCCAGCGATCTGTATCTTGTTTGGGTGGAAATATGGTGTTAATTATCTTCATGACAGATGAATCTGGCAATTCATTTCAGCTGCTTTAGATCATACATTCCTCTGGCTGGTAGACCTTCAGAAAATAGAGAAATAGATCTTGAAGATGAAGGAAGGAATGCCATAATAAGGACAGATGTTGCCATGAAATTTTAGGGTTGCATTCAGCAGGGACTTAGATTTATATATCATCTTTGTGATATTCATGTTTCTCCAGTCCTCTGTTCAGCTGGGTCTGTGTCATGTAAACACAACCTTCAGCAGCTAAAAGGCACACCAGTAATTGGCTGTAATGAGTTATTGCTCATTATGAATAGCCACTGCTGATTCTCCAGCCTCTCTGCTCGTTTGTATTTGTAGGAGCCTTCAGACTGTTTTCCATCTCCTTCAGCTACTCATCATCTGGGGTTTCTGACCAGTCCCTTACCATGTGTCCTTCTGATTGGACACCAGTAACAAATGGCAAACGCATCAATAATGCAAATTTTGCAACAAACAATTGTTTTGGGTAAAGAACAGTGCTAAAGTACATGAAACGCTAAGGACCGTGAGCCATGCCACAGCAACCCTCCAACTGCATTTGGTGATGGTCATTTCTCAGTCATTCTGCAATCACACTGAGAAGCCCAGGTGAGACTTGCACTCCACCATCTTAAATGCAAAGTTAAAACACAGTAAATGATGGAGTTTACAAATTTAACACTGAACAGAACTCCTGATTCTAACAAAATATTCAAAAATACTTAATTAAACAACTGCACACAGATGATGACTAGTCCCCTCCAACAATTACTGAGCAAGAGAAAAGGTTTAGCAATAGAACATAAGTGACAAAAAGCTAAAACTGAGAAGAAAAGCCTATTTCCTATACGAGAAAATCCAAGTTTCTTTCTCAGTCTCTCTTTTTCATTTCTTTTTCAAGTATGAATAGAGTATCTCTAGGTGTCACTTAGGTACTAAAGCTTTAGTCAGTGTAGGAATGGCTCAGCTGAATATATCACAGGACAGCATACTTGCTTCTCAGTGATGCTCAGCTCTGCAAAACCAAAACTCATACCAGGGCTTCATGCTGGGATTCTTTCTAAGGTTATTTCAGTCAATGCCTTTGTCTTGACAAAAGCCTACAGGTTAACACCACAAAGACGACCCAATCCATCGCCATCCAGTATATTTTGAGGTTTCCTACAAAGCCTGTGGCAGAAAAGTTGGGAAAATTTCCAATTCTTAGAAACTTTCCAGCTATTCTGACAACATTCCAAAACTAACCTTGGTGTCTCTCGGCCTGGCCTGCCAGAGGGGAGGGCGTAGATCTCACCAGCACACCTGGCTGCTCACTGCTCACAGATTTGGTTACTGAGAGTGCAGCGGGGAGCAGAGGCTGCTCACCCCAGACTGTCCTGGGGGGGACTGACACCTAACTCTACCTGTGACATCCTCAGGAGAGCATCTTCGTTGCGGGCACTCGCTTCTCACTGAGCTCTTAAAAAATCAGTGGTTGCAACAAGCGAATGCAAGACCAACGATTGCCTTCCAACTGCAATGATGTGAGCACGAAAGTGCTCCAGTAAGGGCAAAGTGAGGGCAAAGCAATTACTCCGCTCGCCATTGTGACTATCCTGCACATTATTTCTAGAGAACAGCCATACTGAAACCCTCTACGTATGAGCACAACCTGAACTTTGGATTAAACTGTGAGCTGAGACTTTGAGACTTGCAGATGAGGCTCCTTCCTTATCACTTGCCGCGGTGTGAAGACTCAGCAGTTCTGTGCTGCACCTGGCCTGACCTCTTTTTTCCCCCACTGATTTATTTAGCTTTCTGCTCTCTTCCTAGGCTCTGACTCTCATTTTGTATCACAGTTACCAGCAATTCTGGCTGATCAGACTCAGTGGAATTGAGTGTATCTTGCCTGGTTTCTGTAAGGTCCAAGGATAAGGTCCTGTCCCTTAGAAATTACTGTTAGCCTCCGCTTGAACCAAGAGCGGAGATTAAAATTCAGCTTGAGAACAGAAGGTCTGGCATTATTTTGCATTTCTTAATGAAAGATTTCCACAGTTCTAGTTATTTACTCTCCTCTGTGGAGCACCCAGTGCTGACTAGGCAAGGGCTATCCATTTAAGGCTGTCTCTCCTCTCAGCTTAAAGAGAAGTTCCCTCTCTTTGACAGGAAGAAGGTAGGATAAATTAATTTTTCTTTCAGCATCACCACACCTGGGGAAAGGATCTTGCTCACAGATAACAGTGCAAGCAAATATTTTCCTTGGGAGAAAAAGAGAAAGTGAAGATCAAGGTCAGAGGAGGCAAGAGTAAATATATGAGTCTGCCTTCAAACTAACCTTCCATAGAACTTGGGGGGGGTCGTTTTATTTAATATGGAAAACATGAAAAAGCATAAGGGGGGCTGGGGGTGGAACTGGCTTACAGAGAGATAAAGGGGCTGAGAAGTCTGGTTGCACAGATATGCTGAATTCCAGCTGTACAGAACAAGACAGTCAGAGTGAATGGGTTGAGAGAGACTGTATTCACCTCTACACATACGGATACATGTAGGAGTATAGCTCAACTTCTCTCTCCCTGACTTCCCTGAAGCATCTTCCCTTCCGTCCTGCTTACAGAGTATGACTGTGGCTACTCTTTGCACAAGGTTATAACGGGAAATTCATCTTGGGTTTGCCTCTACCTCATAACCACCACCCCATGCAGCATTTCAGTGACTTCACTGCATCTCAAGGGATGGCCCAGCACCAGCCTGGACAGACAGCATCAGCCTAAGAATCCGCATGGGCCTCCATCCCCAGAGGATATGGATCAGTGCTGTGCACATATGCAGATAAAAAAATCACCCCACTTTTCAAGATTTCAAACACATGCCAAAGTCCTGAATGAAAACCAACTACGAGGGCTTAAGAATCTGCATCTTCGACTCCTCACTCCGTGACTGAAAACTTGATTTTAGCTTTCCAAGTGTCTTCTCACAGCTCACTGGCAGGATTTTCCCTGTAGTCCCTGGAAAGCCAGAGACAATGTGAGGGCAGCTAGATGAGAAGGTTTGGTTAGGTTGGCTGCATCAGCCTCCAGGAGCACCCAGTTCTGTCTCCTGATCCCCAGTAAAGCCCAGAAAGAATAACTCTGATTTTTAGCTGGCTGTGTGACCAGGTGAGACATACAGACAGGTACGGCATGTTACCCCATGCGGTTCATTCAGTGATGCACAGGAAAACTGTCACTAATCCCTGGCTACTGATTTAACTATTAGAGCATCCTTTCACTTCAGATGGCTACAAGCTAGAACTGACCCACAAAACCATAATAAAAGACAGGGAAATAGGGCTCAGAATACAAGTTACGTTTGGGCTTTTTTTTTTTACATTTTGTTATGAACTCAAAACTGGACCTGTTTCTGTGGGAACTTGTGCTAAGGTATGCAAATATTTCAAACCAAAGCAGTCCCATTTTCCAAGAAGAGTGGGCCAGGTTTCAGGCAAAGATGCTTTCACAGCAAAACCATGGGAAAATTCACCATTTTCCATGTTTCCAATATGCCAATATTCATCTTATGTTAAGTGCCAGCAATTGTTGGAACAAGGCTACAACCCAAGAAAGCACTTAAGCACATGCTTAACTTTCAGCACATGAGTAACCTCAGTCATGTCCGGGGTTTTGTTTTTATATTTGCTATTGTTAGTTACCTTGAATTTTTAAATCTGTAGGGACAATTTGCATCTTCTGAGCTGTATAATTGGGCCATGAAAGGGATGGCAGCTCATGATTCCTGAATTGTTAATTAATCACTTTTATTATATTTAAATATGCTTTAGAAGACCGTAATGATCTATGCTTCCTTGATATTAGCTGTACTAATTAGATCATCTTTTCTAAATTAGAGTGCAGTTTTCTTAGCAGGTTTCCTTTTATCTGGTGTTCATTTTTCAAAAGAGCTTCATGATGTTCCCACAGATGAGTGAATCATTTCCAGGGGAGCATGTTATGCAAAAGATGTTTTTCTTGCTGCTGTAGAATGCCTACGGGTAGATCATGGATCTCCTTGAAATTGTTAAATATTTTGAAGTTGGACTTTCCTCAACAATCATACGTTCCTTGACTAGATGAGCATAACTGCATCTGGGAAGAAACTCAGGGCCTACAACAAACCAGCGCATTTGGCACGTGTGTTATGTTAGAACAACACAGCTCCACAACACAATTTGTTTTAGTGACACATGAAAGCAAAAATTGAAAGTGGCTGAAATACATTTATATACCTGAGCAGGCAAGAGTATTTTGTTGCCTTCTTTCTTTAGCAGTAAATTGGTGCTCCAGCACCGAAAGCCATTCTGTCTTGTCCATCAGAGCATTACTTTCAAAAGATTTGTTAGGAAATTATGAACGTGTTACTCCAGAGGTTCTCACTCAGGTTATCTTGAACATTTAACTTATCATTGCTCAAGTAGTTTGCAATATCCTTTCTGGTTAAGGAAAGCCTGAATTTCATGTCTCTGCACAACTAGTCAGGAAATTTCTCAAAACCTACTCGAGAAATCCCAGGCAGTTTCACCTGAGTGTGATGCTCCTGGTTCCAGAGAGAAACGATGAGAACATCCTCTCTTGGATACCTGGTACGTCTACCTGGTTCAATCCCCTATCAATTAATGGTGATGCTGGACACTAACAGGATGAGAAGAACAGGTTATTGCTTTTCCCCAAACACGTCTATTTAGCTCCTGGAAAGCAGTACTTACGTGTCGACAAATCTCCTGCTGAGGTTTGAGATGACAACTGGAGATCCAGACTGGAAAGGAGGGTCCCGAACCACTTTGTACTGGATGGGTTTGCAGCCCGCGCACAGCGTGCTGTGAGGGACAGAGCTCAGCATGGCAGCATCGATTTCCAGGTGCTCATCCAGAGTGTAGATCTGGATCCCGTACACCTCCTCACCCACTTGTCCAGCATCCAGCTTTATGGTCAACGGGATGTCGCAGAAGACATTCTGCGGGCCGAGAGAAATGTTCTTCCCGCTGATGGTGAGCAACTTGATGTCATTCACCGCCCCGCTGGAGTCCCAGTCAGGGGACACAAATGTCATCCAGACTGTGAGGGACTCTGGAGTCAGGGGATAACGGAACTCCAGCTGCAGGTAGCAGCCCTGAGGCTCAGGACAGGCTGGGGGCACCGTGTGTTGGTTGACTGCTGAGTTGGGACTCCATGTTCTGACACTGGACTTACAAGGCTGTTCAACATCAGGGTGCCCTGGAAAGAAAGACGAGAACAAAGACAGGGCACAAAAGAGGTTAGAGAACATGGTTTATCATTATCAATATCAGAAGGATATTGACCACTTGGAGCGAGTCCAGAGGAGGCCACGAAGATGCTCAGAGGGCTGGAGAACCTCTCCTATGACGAAAGGCTGGGAGAACTGGGCTTGTTCAGCCTGGAGAAGAGGAGGCTCCGAGGAGACCTCATTGCAGCTTTCCAATATCTGAAGGGAGCTACAAGGGTGCTGGGAGAGGACTTTTTACAAGAGCCTGTAGTGATAGGACAAGGGGGAATGGGGATAAATTGAAATCAGGGAGGGTTAGATTAGATAACAGGAAGAAATTCTTCACAGAGAGGGTGGGGAGGCACTGGAACAGGTTGCCCAGAGATGTTGTGGATGCCCCATCCCTGGATGTCTTCAAGGCCAGGCTGGATGTGGCTTGGAGCAACCTGGTCTAGTGGAAGGTGTCCCTGCCCGTGGCAGGGGGGTTGGAACTAGATGATCTTTAAGGTCCCTTCCAACCCTAACCATTCCATGATTCTATGATTCTATGATTGGCATCAGTCTTGAAAGACAAACTGGTGGCAGGAGAGCATATCTGCCCAGGAAACTAAATATTTATTTGAGCAGAACGGGGTGGCCAGCGTGGAGAGGAGGAATATAACATCAGCAACTCCTGGCCGGGTGAGAGATGCAAACCCGGTTTAGTGCCCAGATGGACCGGACACCACACACCACACACTGTGCTGGTGCTGCTGGTCCTGTATTTCCTATTTCTAGTGCCTTCCCCTGTGCCAAACAATGATATTTTCTCCCTCTTCCACTTGGTACTTTATCTGATAAACAGAGTCACTTTGCCTTCAGCTCACCTCTGTGAACTTACTCGCTTGCTTGTCGCTTTAAAATACAGCCTTTTTCTCTTGCCTTTAACAAAGACAACAAGGGCTTTTGTTGATCCCAAAAAGCTGTTGCACAGTGCTGTGAGGGGCAACTCCTATGTCACTTACAGGCTAACCTCATACGTTGTGTAAGACCCTTTCTTTTGGAGGCACACGGAGCACAGGTCTGAGCTGGCTCTTTGCACTCGTCGTGATGAAACAACAGGCACTTGTTCTTTTACATTTCTCACCGTTGGCTACGTTCAGCTACATGGGAGGTATTACTAAAAACTAATGAAAGCCACAATGCTTGCTGGGTTCCCAAATACTATGGTAACATTACGATTTGGCACAGAGTCATGGACTGCAAGATCCAGAGAGGTCAGATGGGTGGAACAGTTGGTAACAGAATCCAGTGAGAGCTCTAAATTCCCTTTTCCTTCCCAAATAATCACGAAAAGGGAGCAAGCAGGACAGGAGAAGATGAGGCACAAAAAAGAAGAAAGGGAAAAGTAAAGATAAAGAAAGGTAGTAAGAGGAGAGAAATCGAGAAGGCAGAGGAAAAAAAGGGAGAGCACAGCTGTTTGCAAGTGAGGGAGAAAGCAAGATAAAGCACTGGGCAAACACGAACAAACAGGACATCACGACTAATTTAAAGAGAAAAGGGCAATGTGTGAAGGTTATTCTTATTGTCTGTGATCCAATGAAGTGTTAGAAATGCACCTTTTTTGTCAAGGATAAACAGCACAGGGAATTTTCCTGTTCATACCAAATGAACCCAGATGCAGAATAGATTTCCTGGTGTCTCAGGCAGTCCTCCCCACGATCCGACACAATTGTCCTGCAGATGTACAACTTCTTAAGCGTCTCCCTCCCTCACACATACCCCACAGCCCTCCTCTTCTCCTCGCATGCCACAGAGCAGCGGGAACGCCACTAACCTCAGCATCTGGACAGACCACAGCAGCGATATATTTTGAAGAAAGCCAGAGTTCCATTTAACACACTCCAGTTTTTTTTCCCCCTGGCAAGCTTGCAAGTACTGCGTAGGATCATTTTGGGTAGCCAATACCCCATTCAGCTCACGTTATCGCACAACGTTTGCTGCCGGCCGCATGTGCGTGGCTGGGCTCTCCGATGACCTTCTCGCAAACTCCCCGCAAGCTCCTGACCGCAGCCCTAAGAAGGTGCTTTTTAACCCCAGTATCTCACAGTGGTTTGGAAAGATTTGTGAATCTTATCGCTGCCATCTCGCAGACAGGAGAAGGGAGTCGATTAATGGCTCACAGCCTAGAATGTTTTCAAAAGTGGTCTCCACTTGGATTCCCACAAATTCACCTCTGCCAGTCCAAGGCCTCCGTAAGACCTAAATGTGAATAAACCTACATGTTTTGGTAGATCACGGTGTGATCCCCGGAGTGACAGGAATTGAATTCAGCCTCCAAGGAGTTCAATGCAGATCATCACCCAGAAATGGGAGCTTGACTGTAGTCATCCATAGACGAAAAACCTCAATGAAGTTGAGGTAGAGTCCCTTTCTTAAATATCATAACATACATAGACCTGGGTAATAAACATTCATTTAATTGTGGAAAAGGATGGAAACCTTATTCCAAGTAACTTTAGATTTCTGGAGATGGGTAAATACTACAAAAATTACAGATATTTGTATATAAAAAGAGATGGTGAGTTGTTCTGCCCCTGTGCACTCAGGTCCTGAAAATTCTTTGGGGACTCTAATGTCCAGCTGAGACCATTCCACTTGCAGATACGGAATTAGTCACTCCTGAGTGAAATATTGGCCTCTGGGAAAGGCAGGTCACTAGAACAGCCTAAGGCTGCAGAAGTTTTTGTTATATTCTCACACTTCTCTCAGTCAATAGTGAGCCAGGCAGCACGAACAGGCTGATATATACATATATTGCACAGTAAGCAAAGGTGTTTATTTGGGTTTGAGCCAAAATTACCTTTCATATATAAAACCACCCTTTGACTGAGTTGTGGAGGCACGGTAAGGCTTGTTTATCTAGCTGGTGTTGCTGGTGAGAATCCAGGCAGGTTAGAGCTTTCTTGCTTTACAGTGCAGGTAAAGAGTAAATCAGCACTGCCTGCTTCCAGTGTCATCCCACAAGTGCTGCTGAGGAGCAAAGAGCTCCTCATGCAAGGGGTACAACTGACTGGGTAAGAATCACTAAATATCTCAGCTGGGGGTTGTACCCCACCACGCTCGGGCACAAACAGGGCTCTAGGAAGGGAGCAGTCGCCACGGCAGAGCTGTGTAATGGGCACGGCTCACATGCAGAGCTGGTGTCAGCTACCTAGGGTAACTGAGCAGTGTTACAGTGCCATGAGACCTCAGGAAAATGAAATCAGATCAACCAGGTTCAGAGCTGCTTCAGAGACACATGAGAAATGCGGTTTTCTGGTAAGAAGCTGGATGAGTATGAAGAAACATTTTCCATGAGTGTCGTCTCAAATTTTAAAATGAGTTCATTTTGGCCATGCTTATGCCACTTTCCATGAACATTCAAGCAGTGGAGTCTCACACATGAACGCTTGCAGAAAGTGAATTTAAAGCTTGCATGCTTGAGTACTCACAGATAGACAATTAAAGAAGACAGACAATGATCTAACTGTGCTATTCGTAACTCAGACCAAGTGCAAATAGGCAGAGATTCTGAATGTCAGGGAGCGTGGTAGTGATGACAGAAAATTAGAGAGCAACAAATACCATACACTTGGTATATTTTATACCCTGAAGTGGAGACAACTTATTAATGTAGTAAGGGGATAGGATTCCCAAATTTTCCTTTCAGAGCAATGGCACAACAGCGATTGAATCAGACTGATAAGGATCAGACTGCACCCTTCACAGTTAAGAACATGCAGGCACACACTGTAAGAAGAGGAAATTAAATGCAAAATGCAGCTGAGTAATAAATCTTAGAGTAGCTTGGTTTCTCTAGGAATGATGCCGCTGGCAAGACGTGTGAGATCCAGAAGTTTTCAAATCAGAGCTCGTTGGAGAAATTTTGACGGAACTGCCTATGTCAATGGAGTATGCAGTTCTTTCATAAAGAAAACACTTTGAGTCATGGTTTAGGCCCAGCTGGTAA